CTGTGTGAATATTATTACAGTATTGGTATTAATGTTACTGTATTATGTTTACTAAAATTATTCATTTATAATTTATTATCACAGTCACTGTGATTAGTATTCAGGCACAAATGCCAGAAACTAAATGTTGTACACATTTTATTTCATGTATTGTCCAACTACTTGTGAAATCAAAGTGTTACTGTTTGTAATCTCAGTAGTACATGTTATCCAGTATAGATTGCAATAAAAAAAGAAATCATTCTCCACTTTTTTTACCAAACTCTTTGTTCGAGGCAAGTAAAAAAAACCCACCATACTGTATTCTTGTGCAGTGATGGATTCAAGGTGGGGGGGGGGGGGGGGCAGCTGCTCACCCCGTCCCCTACCTAAAATTTTCAAAATAGAGAAAAAAAGGAAATCTATTCAAATTTTAAGTATGAGAGTGCCATCTCCGGTCCTATAAGGAGATGCCATAATCAACCATGATGGGGCTGAGGTGGTACACCCCTCCACCTGTGAAAGTTTCAGCCTGGGCTCCTCTATTTAAAATTCCTTGAATCATCATTGTTGCGCGCAGATCAGTCATTTATTCAAGTTAAATAGCGCCTTAAAACAAATGTTTACAGGTTTAAGGTCTTATGTTTATTCTTAAAAATGATTGGGACATTCAAAAAAGAGGTGGAACACAATTACAGAGACGTGGTGCAGCGTACGAAAACACTCTCTTTTCTAAAAAGACTCCAATCTATATCAGACGGAAGCATTTTGGAAGTGGTCCATCCGGCAACATAATTTTTTGACTCGTACAGTTAAGGCATCAGTTATTGAGGGCGCTATTTTGGGTCCGTTAGGTGAACTGATGTGCATGAATAATATGCATACATGACCTCCCCCTCGCGAAACCAGTTCAGTGGTGGGGTATCGAGTAAGCTGCAGTGATTATGCGTGGATGAACGCATGGCGTAGGCCAAAATATCGTAAATAAGCCTTGACGCAGCGTTCCCGGAACGCCGCCCTCAGCGGCGAGTGCGAAGCACAACCCAGGGTCAAAAGTGGAACGTGAAATTTGGATATATATACCATTTGTATATGGTTTTGTAGTCTGAAAAACTTCAGCTACCCGTATTTCTCGACTGAGACGTCAGTGGGAGCTGTAATTTGTATGGCAAGGAGATTGAGCAACCCTTCATTCATATTAAGGGAATTTACGCCCAGAAACTTTGTAGTTATTAATATTTTGGTTATAATAGAAAATATTCATTTTTTGGTGACGTCACACTCACCTTAGTTAGCATGTATACGTCATAAGCTAGATACGTCACCTTTTCCTGGCAAGGCAAACTTTCCCAGCGTGCTTTTTTCATGGATAAACAAACACCACTGCTTTGTACATGGATGCCTTGCCCAAGCCAGTGCTACAAGAGCCGCATTGTTAGCATTGTATAATACTTAAATAAGGTACCTCTGCAAATGAATTATTCTTAGTTATTTTTTTTTCTTATTTTAATTTATTTCTTCCGAAAGTGTACTTTCTATCACATATAATTCCACTGTCTTAGTTAGGCCTAGTCTTATGCCTCATCGTTTCCTGCTACACAGCACACCAGCAGCCCCTCCCCGATACAGTACAGACGTTTGCTAGGTAACAACGTGATTGCATCTTCCTTCCCAGGTGTTCATGTAACATTGACATAATTGTTAGCTAACCAGTTGTGTGTATGTCTTTGTGAAAATGAGTACCGCGGCGTACTCATTTTCACAAAGCATTTGCATCCCCTCTTGGAAAGAGGGATTCGAAATAATTGTCTCCATATCTTCGCTAATTAAATTAATCACCGTAATTTAGCTTACACTTATGAATTTAGGGAGCACTTAAAATGTGAAATAATCATTTCACTACCCGACTAACTCCGAACTTTATTCATTCATTATGCCTACATAATAGTTTCATATTGCTGTACTATATACTCCAACATCACCGGCGCATGGTAACAACCAACTGACTGCAGGCCATTTCCGGTCACACATTACTCTCCATAACACAGCACCCCCTAGTTCCGTCACCTCTGGATAGTGTGAACATTAATGGACTATAAATTGTAATAAAATAGACCTATCCCTTGAATTATCCCTTATGTACAGCATGGTTTTAAGTATAAAAAAAAAGCACAGTAATACTAAATCTGGCTATTCGAGTACAGTATAGATAGGCCTAGATCAGGGCCGGCGGAACGTTTTTCAAAATGGGGGAGGGGGCCCATTTATAAGATGAATGGGAATATCAATCATGCAGATCTGGAATCAAATCTAGGTGGTGGGGTGAACATTCCTCCCCCGGGAAAATTTTGATTTCTAGATGGCGGGAAATGACCTTTCTCTACTTTTGAGCTAGGTGTCCAATGACTTTGTTCTTCAAAATTCAAGGTTTTCCCCCTCTTGAAAACGGTAAGGTAAACTTTCTCAATACAGTAAATAGGCCTGTTATGTGTGTGTGTGTGTGTGTATACATACATTTAAAAAAAAATGAGTAGTTGCATACGTATTCTTTTTTCAATAAATCGATAAGCTCCAAAGAAAAGGGGGTTCCGGGGGTTCTCCCCTGGGAAAATTTTGATTCGTAGATGGCGGGAAATGAGCTTTTCCGACTTCTTGAGGTGTCTTAATTACATTTAAGTTCTTCAAAACGCCAGTTATGTTTTACCTGTTGGGCCATGTGGCCGTGTATTCAATTTTTGAATAAAGTGTGCCTAAATACAAAATTCAAGGTTTTCCCCTCTTGAAAACGGTCAGGTAAAATTTTCCCTTTGTTATTACAATAAATAGGCCTTTATGTGTGTTTGTATAAAAAAAACAAAAAAACAAAAAAAAAAACAAAAAACAAAAAACATTCAAGAACAAAGTTCAATCACAGGCGGCACATATTTTTTCCCGACGATGATGGGGAGTCCTGGGATAAGTCAAAAGAAAGGCCTAGTGTATGCATAGAACTAGGTACGCTGGTACTGTACACATAATACTGTAGCCCCTGGTCTCAGCTTAACTTTAATAATGCCTGCAGCTAAAATTTATCACGAGGCCTGTTTTTTTAGAAAACTTTCCAGAAGCTACGCATAGCCAATGGCCGTATTCGACTAGTCGTTCCTCGTAAAACCACGCCCGCCTGCGCAGTAGTAAAATCCTACTTAACGAACGACCAGTCGAATAGAATAACTGGTAAATAATACCCAACAAAACAAAATGGCTGCATAGTTACTGCGATACACGCTGCGCAATCAAGGCTGCTTCGTATTGTGGCAGTATGGGTTTTTCGAAAAAAAAAAATGTTTTCATCCAGTTTTTGAATTCTGTTAGCCTACAATTATTTTTTAACTTCAATGTGGGTTAATATATGTTGTTGCTAAACTGACCAATCGGCCATTTTTTTTTTTTTTTGGTAATGTACATAACTTAACGCTGATTAACGCATTCTGGTTACGTTAATTTTTGTTTTCAACGAAGTCTATTTTACGAACCAGTCGAATGAAAATAATACTCAACGAAAATTCGTACTCAACGAAACGAACCAGTCGAATAAGCCCAATGCTCACGCCTTGAAGTAAGTGCGTTTGTAGCACAACATGTGTGTTTGTGAGACGCGCGCGCATTCCTAGCGCTGTTCTGATTAGTCAGTTGTTAAGTTTGATTGACACTCTCGGAAAGGTCTATTATAACCATGGAGGTATTATTGAGAAGGAGATCACTGGGCAAAGCTACGCGCACGCAGCGCTATGCAAATGAACCAAGATCAAAGTTGCCGCAGCGCGTAAAGAACGTTTGCGCGATGCCTTTGAAGTCCCATGTGTTCCCCGCCATCAAATTTTTAGCAGGCAT